GGACTGGCTGTTGTGGCCCGTGCTACGTTCTCTCTCTTCCCATTGCCATTCCTGCTTAAACGTTTGAACTTCTGCCCTAACAAGATCCTCTTATCTCACTCATTCTGTTTTCATCCTGATATAATGAGAAGAGCCTGTGCTGATATCACCATCAACATCTGCTATGGACTTTTTGTGGTTGTGTCCACTGGGGGCATAGACTCCCTGCTCATCATCCTGTCCTACACTCTCATCCTGTGCACAGTCCTTGGGCTGGCCTCTCCCCGGGAGCGCATCCGGGCCCTCAACACCTGTGTCTCACACATCCTTGCTGTCTTTGTCTTCTTCATCCCAGGCATCACCATGTCCATGATCCATCGTTTTGGAAGGCACCTGCCTCACATTGTACATGCCCTGGTTGCCTATGTGTACCTGATGGTGCCCCCTGTGCTCAACCCCATCATCTACAGTGTGAAATCCAAGCCCATCAGGGAGGCCATGCTCAGAGTGCTGAGGGGAAAGGGCCAAGGCTGATGAAACTATGAAATACAACAGGGTTGGGTACCATCAAAGACACTTGCTATAGCCTCACAGAAACCTGCTACCCTTGGCGATCACTGAAAGTTCCTAGACTATGCTAATACAGTGGGAAGACCATCAGGCTTCTTCCTATTACAAATTTATGTTCACCATTTGGTTTGTACTGGAAGCAGTGCCAAGATTAAAAACTGAGAAATATGCCTTGGCCGGTTTGGCTCAGTGGATAGAGCGTCAGCCTGCAGACTCAAGGGTCCCAGGTTTGATTCCGGTCAAGGGCATGTACCTTGGTTGCAGGCACATCCCCAGTAGGGAGTGTGCAGGAGGTGGCTGATCGATGTTTCTCTCTCATTGATGTTTCTAACTCTGTATCCCTCTCCCTTCCTCTCTGTAAAAAATCAATAAAATATAAAAAAAATAAACAAATAAAATAAAAACTGAGAAATATATAAAATGTGGTCTTCTCCAGAAACTCACAATTTTGTGCCAGGATAAATACATGTATATACACAACTAGAATACAGATTTATAAGTATCATAATAAAGTTCTTTGCGAGAAATTACTAAAGACTGCAAATTAGTAGTTGCCAGATCTTGCCTAGAAAGATTGGACAAACCTCTACAAGGAAGAGGATGCTTTTCATTTCATCTTGGAAAAAAATGTAGGGTGGTGTGTTTTTTTCCCTAGGCAACATAGGCATTGAGTAAAAAAGAGAAAAAAGTAGGGGGGGGGGAATGAGATATATAAAAAAAGGCTCAATATTTTGAAAAAGTACATGTGTTTGTGGAAAGATGAGCATTTCTGCACTTCTTTACATCTCTACCACTTGTTATATCTTAACCATTATGACTGCGGCATAGGGTTTAAAGAGGGAGTGGTAGGGGATGAAGTCAGAAAGATAGATTTAAAAGACTGCTGAGTGATGTTTCTCTCTCATCGATGTTTCTAACTCTCTATCCCTCTCCCTTCCTCTCTGTAAAAAACCAATAAAATATATTATTTAAAAAAAACAACCTTGATGATGATAGTAAAAGTTCTTTTGGCAGTTCCACCAAGGCCGTGGTTATATCGGAGCATTGGGAGAGCTAGATGAGAGAGGCATAAGTGGAGATAAGTTACAGCTAACTTCTCTTGAGATTTTTTGAAAGGGAAGAGATAAAAGAGGAGTATAGTATCTTGGCGGGATTATACTTGTCATTGTCATTTTTAATATGGAAGAGACTGGAATATAATAAATGCTAAGAATGACTGAGATAGTGAGGTTGAATATCTAATAGGGAGAAGGAACAATAATGTAAGTTTCCTGAGAAGGTGAGAAGGTATTGACCCAGAGTAAATTAAAAAAGAAAATCTATATGAGACCCAGCTTGATTAAGACCTTTGATAATTATATTAATGTAAATAAATATCTGCTTCTTTGATAAATTTATACATCCAGTATTTTATCTAAAAGGATAAAAAGCAGTCTTACCTCAGCTCCTTACTTTCCAGGTTTTATTTCCTTTAGTTTTTAATCTGTTTATTCAATAACTATTTCGTGTTGTTACAAGGCTAGGCTACTTAAGGACAACAAAAGCATGTACAAAGTCTTGACACATTAGTATTTTATTTTTTATTTATTCAACTGCCTCGTGTAAATATGGGTTGATGGAGGGTGGCAGGTACGAAGGATCTGTTTCTACATAATTTTTAGGAACCCAGGCTGCTTGTGGTTTACCATGTGCAACTCATGGCTTCCCAAGTCACATTTGATGTCAATGTGGAAGATTGAACATGGGAAGATTTTTGAGCGTGGCAGAGAAGTGGCACATGTCACTTCCACTCACACTGAAAGTAACGGCTAGCATTTAATCATACCCATCTCAAAAGAGGCTGAGAAATGCTTAGCTTTGTGTCCACAATGGGGAGGAATTAGGTTTGGTGAATGGAGAAGACATGTTTATAAAACAGTTCATAAACTGTTTTATAAACAGATAAAACCTACAAAAAATGAACAAGTGACTTATAGACAGATTGAACATTCAGATTTCTTCAGGATTCAAAAAGGTCCAAGTGGCTGAGATGGTAGGGCCGGAGGCAGGAATATACAAACAAAAGAAATGGGGAAGGTAAAAGGATGCTTGTGTAAAAGGCATATGATGAAGGTCTTTGTCCAGAACCTACCCTAACTTCCAGCCAAATTTCCTAAAAAGAAGCAGCCTCTTCCTCTCATTCTAGTTCTTAACTCCGGGCCCTTCCAGGTAACCCAATGTGTGTGTGTGTGTGTGTGTGTGTGTGTGTGTGTGTGTGTGTGTGTTTGTGTGTATTTACACTCACAAAATGTTTAAGTGGTTTAGGATAAAATCTATGAAATGTTATCCAGAGCATATTAAGTACCATAGACATGAAATCCCTACTTAAATCTGAAATAATGAATTTGACATCTCTATATTTATCTGCTTATTATTCATCTATCTATGTCTCCAATAGCATTTCAAGTATAAAACAGACACACACATTTAGCATATGCCCCTACAGAAGCATGCATGCAAACACTTAATAAAAATCTGAAAAAATAAACACCAAAATGCTAATAATTATTTTCTTTTAAGGTGACAAGTTTATTGGAGTTTTTTTTATTATAATTACAATCATATTGTTACTTTTTTAATATTTTCACATGTCTAAGATTTATATTTATAGTAATCATGTGTTGATTTCCTAATAAGAAAAGATGATATGTCGTTCTCTGTCTTTCATTCTGTCTCTTTCTCTCAGTCCCAAGTCCCAGTTGTCTGGACTCTGCTGGGCAATGGGCTAATCCTTCATTCCCTCCAAATGAAGCCTGCAATGACTCAAGTTTATGCTCCTAGTTCTGCTGGCCACCACTCACCTGGGTGTATCATATTCCATACTATTCACAACTCTCGTCTTCTGGATTCCAGTGGAAGAAATCAGATATGCTCACTCCATATCCTCTCTACTAAGAAATCTTGTGCTAAGAAAAGTCTGGCTGGCCCTGTGCCATGTTCTCCGCTATACTACCTGCTTCTCACATTTAGCTACTTCTCTTTGAGCACTCCCCCTATGGGTAGTGGTCTCATTTCTGCCCTGTTTATTCCTATTGCACTCCTGTGGAGCCCATAACCCCTCTTTCCCATTCAGCTTCCTTCTGGAAATGCTATGCTACCTAGCTTGTGGGGGTCCTGGGATCGCTAGGACCACATTTATGCTAAGTACAGCTGGCAAGAGTACAGGCTTTATTGGTCTCTCCTGTAGATTTGTTCTCCAAGCATTGGTGTTGTGTGCTTCCCCTGTAAGGCAGCTCAGAGCTCTGGGGATGTAGTTGTCCACCTATATGCTCTACTCTGTTTCTGTGGACCCACGCTTGCCTTAGCCTTGCTTCATGGCCAGCCCCATGGGCTTCCTCAGTTTCATGATGTGTCGTGCTCTTGATTCCCTGGTCTGTGGTAGACCTCCTATTTCTCCCATGAGCTTCAAGGTGTTTTCTGATGCATCTCTTTATGAAGTGCCTCTCCAGATACCCAGCGAATGCCTCCACTGCTAATCATGCTATTTCTCAAATTAACTACTGATTAGGAATTACCCAAACACACTCCTGCTGCTACTTCACAAGTTCAGTGGTAAATGGACCAGAAACTATTGAGATTAAAGCCACCAACAATATTAATGGGGAATTTCTAAATACAATACTGGATGAGTAAGAAAGGAAATTAAATACCTCCCCTAGAAAATGCAAGACTATGGAAATGTCTAATTCACTATCCCATTGGTCTAACAATTCCTCTTCACAATATAGGATTCGGTATCAAAAGACAATTTTTTTGTGTGACCTCATGTAAATTATTAGTCCCCATTGAGCATCAACTTCCCCATTAGTACAATGGGGGTACTAATTATATTCCTATTCAGATTGAAAAGAAGTGTCCATGGGCTGTGAAAACTCTCAGAACAGTGTGTCATCTTTCATTAATGCAGGTAACGTGGTTTTTGAATGGTTTTACTTCCAATCTCCCTCGTAAGGGCTGGTGCCCAAAAGAAAATAAATTATATATTCTTTGTGGAGATCATTTTGAAAAAGAAAATCCAGGTATATCTTCTTTTCTGAGATCCAATATGGTTTCTGGGGAGAAAAAAATCATAGTTTTAAACCAAAGTATCTGATTGTATTGTATTCTTGAGTTTATTTCACTTTTTCCATACTTAAGCCTTTGGTAAATATGCTTTCGATGTGGCACCCTTATCTCAGAATGCTGTGGACTAGTACAAGAGGTTTAGAGAATTGGACTGGATGTTTAAATGGGAAATAATAATCCTACAACTACAATCACCTCAGGATTTTAATAATTATATATAGAAAATAACTAGAGGGAAAAATAATATTCAAAAAATGGGGATTGGGAGTATACTGTTCTGCTGCCCCTATCCACAGGAGATGTTCCCACCAGTTTCATCTTTGAAGGACCAGTTGTGTTTTTATTAAGGAAAATGTTTTGCTCCTAATACTGTCTCCCAAAATATTGATATTAAAATCTGCATTAAAGAACTTTGAGTGAAAAATAAGTTTTATCACTGACGCCTAGGGATCTGAAGTCAGGGTTGTCACGTGGAAAAGACGAAGGATGCGCTGCCGGATCTCCTTTGTCTTCACTCCATAGACAATAGGGTTGAGCACAGGAGGGACAAGGAGGTAGATGTTGGCCATGATGACGGGCAGGAGGGAGTCCTGCGGCTTGCCAAAGCGGTGCACCATAGATAATCCAATGAACGGTACATAGAATATGAAAACAGCACACACATGAGAGACACAAGTGCCAAATGCCTTCGTCTGGGCTTCACGTGTCAAGCCCAACACAGTCTTGAGGATAAGCAGATATGATAAGGAGATGAGAACTGAGTCCAGGCCAATGGCAGAGATGATAACGATGAGGCCATAGATGACATTGACATGGATGTCAGCACAGGCCAGCTTCATGACATCTTGATGTAGGCAGTAGGAGTGGGAAAGGATATTGGAACGGCAGAAAGGCAGCTGTTTGATGAAGACAGGCAGAGGTGCCATAAGTGCAGCACCTCGTACTACAGCAGCCATTCCAATCTTGGTAACACGAGGCAGTGTTAACACAGTGGCATGGCGCAGTGGGTGGCAGATTGCCACATAGCGGTCAAAGGCCATTGCCAGCAATACCGTGGACTCCATGCCAGATAAGGAATGGATGGCAAACATCTGTAGCAGACAAGCATCAAACTGGATGGTAGTAGAATTGAACCAGAAGATGGCCATCATTTTGGGCATGGATGAAGTAGAGATCAGGATGTCAAGGCCAGAAAGCATGCAAAGAAAAATATACATGGGTTCATGTAAGCTGTGCTCAGTCCACACAATGTAGATGATTGTCAAGTTACCTAGCACAGCAATAAGGTAAAGGGAGCATAAAGGGAAAGCCAACCAAAACTGAGCTTCTTCCAAGCCAGGGAGGCCTATTAGAACGAAATATGTGGCACTGGATTCATTGCCATTAGGGCCCACCATAGTGAAGAAGCTGAGTTGCAGTCAACGCCAGACCTGAGGAGGCTAGAATGCAAAGATAAACAACTGTCACATCCTCCTGAATCACAACACCACACCTCTCCCCTCCATGCTGATGCCCTGTTCTCTGACCCAAACTCTAACGTCATTGTCTATCCACCCTCTGAGCCTATTCTAAACTCAACCTAACCATCCTTCAAAAGTCAAGGTTCAGATAATTCACCCAGCCGTGATTACCAATCCCGCCCTTGGCTGCAAAAGTGAGGGATGTAAGTAGAGAGTGCTGAGGTGAAAAATGTCAGAAGTGAGTTTGCTCAGATCATCTCTCTCAGTTAAAACAAGTAGAGTTAACTAACTTCCTCCTTTCCTTTCTACCATCCATAAATATTCACGTGCTCCTACTTTCTATGAGATTATGTAAATTGTATAAATTTACACACACACACACACACACACACATTCAGCTATAATTTGGGAGCTAGCTATGGAAGTAGTGCCATTTATTGTTAGGGTATATTTCAGATAGTTTTATCTTGGGAAGAAAATAGCAAGGGGAGATTTACAAGATCTGGCTCTTGACAGCAGGGGTAGGGCCTCTCTGCATGGGTAACCAGAGAAGAGTTGAGTGTGAAGAAGAGCTCATGGCCAGCATCAGGAGGGACTTGCATCTAACACTGGGTTCAGGATGTGTCAATCATCTTTGTTCTACCATTAAGCTATCACCCAGGGGAACACTAGGAGCACAAGTTTTAGAACAGAGAGTAACAGAGCTTAATTCAAACTGCTGGAGGGAGAAGGTATAAGGAGCCATATTTAACCTAGATTTTTAGGCAAAGAGGCAAAGTCATTTAAGTCTTCTGTCCTGACCTCTCTGTAGCATGACACTGGGAGCAAATCCCTCCTTCTTAGAACTTCTCCCTCCACCCTCTGCTCCTCATCTCTCTCTGATCACTAGTTCTTGGTCTCCTTTCTGGATCTTCAGTCTCCTCTGCTTGATCATTAAGCATACTCTTAAATGATAATGCTCTGAGAATTTTATCCTCAGTGTTCTTGTTCTATGTCCCCCTTCTGGAGCCATCTCATTCCTTTCCATTTGTTATGTATAAACTATTGATCCCCAAATCTATTTAGCCAGCCCTGAATTATCTTTTATGATCCAGATTCATAATTCTAAAGTCTTACTAAAGGATCTACCTGTCTGTCACTCAAGCACATCAAACTCTCCCTGTCCAAAAACAAACTCTTACAGACACACAGTTGTATAGCTTTTAAGAATATGAGGTATGAAATTAATCCTGAATTCAAATCCCAGTCAAAGACCTCCTTAAGTGTGCAATCTGGGGCAAACCAACTAACCTCTCTAAGCCTCTTTAAAATGAGGATAACAGTCACTGCCTAGTAAATGTCAATGTGAGGATCAAATGAGATGATGAAACATCTAACACAATGCCGGGCACATAGGTAATGTGCAAAAAATCTTGTCTGTTGTTATTAACTGTTTTTCCTCTTTTCTGTTAGGGTGGCCGAAACAGTCACACAAGCTAGATATTCCAATTCTGACTGCCATGACTCTCATGTAATCTTTTTCATTGGCACAATCCCAATAGTCTTCTAACCAAAAGAAATCAGGTCACTAGCCATGGTTTTAAAAAAAATTCATTTGAGCCCTAGCCAGTTTGTCTCAGTGGGTAGAGTCAGCCCTCAGACTGAAGGTTCTCAGGTTCAATTCCGATCAAGGGCACATACCTCAATCAGGGTGCTTGCGGGAGGCAACCAATCAATATGTCTTTCTCACATCGGTGTTTCTCTGTGTGTCTCTCCCCCTCCCTTCCACTCTCTCTAAAAACCAAAGGAAAAGTATCCTTCAGTAAGGATTAACAAAACAAAAAATTCCTTTGAAAGCTCCAAATTCAATCTAAATAAAGACTAACTTGTGGTAAAGATCTGTCTTTCAGCATCTGGCCCTAGGTTTCTCTCTTCCCACTTCTCACCATGGCCCCTAGGATTCGGCCATGTTAAAGTACATAGTGTTTCATAAAGTAGCAATGATTCTCGTGCCCCTGTGTCTTTTTGTCTTTTTTACTTCTTATTCCTTTGTCAAGGTCCTTTCAGACCTCCCTTCTTGACTTTCCACAGAGCAAAATCTTACTCACCGTTCACGTCCTGGTTAACTGTCTCTCCTATGCTATTTTCCTAACTCTCTTTCCCTTGGGTATAATTAAATATTTCCTGCTATGTGCTCCCAAAGATCTTTGTTTAGGTCGCATTTTATGAATTTATCCTCCTGAACTATAATTATTGCATATTTATTGTTTTCCCCTGAATTATGAATTTTTAAGGGCAGAAACCCTACCATATTTATTAAGTGTTTAGTTAATGTTTGTTTAAAAAGTAAGATGAGTTTTTTCAAAAGAAGAATCCCTCAATAGGCATCTAATGAGGACAACAAGGTCCAGTGTGTAGGAAGGATGTCTAGTTGTCTGAACTTTAGAGACTTTTGAGAAGAATAAAAGAATGTTTGGAAGGTTCAGGTGGGGTGGTCTTAACTTCAGAACAAGAACTTTTAGGTCAAACAGAAAAGATCTTTCTTACCCAGGGAGCCAGAGGGCATGAGAAGCTGCATAGAGAACAGAGCAAGTGCAAAGTCTTGGCTCTAAATACATGTAAAGTGGACATACATACAGTGTGTGTCCAAGAGAGGAGGGGACCTAGATGCCTCACCTGGAGACATTAGCAAGAAGGCTCTGATATCCATATCATCCAGAAATTTCACATGAACAGACATGGTAGTGCAGTGCAATGAATGACCAGGATTAAAATGTGCTGCCTTAGGAGATGTGTTGGGAAAGTATTGTGGATTGCCATGGATTGCCATATTCTGAGGGTAAAGTGATGTAATGAGCAGCGTCCTGGGGCTAGGAATGCAAGTCTCAGCAATAAGTAAATGCAGAGGGCAAGAATAAGAAATCACAGTGCTGCTGCAAAATCATGAGATAAGGCGTGTCAAAAGGCATTGCAAAAACTGCGTCACAGTGTGCAAAGCACTGTCTTTGAACATTTCCATAAAAATGGGAAAGAAGATCTCTAAAGAGGTATGAAGTTTCTAAAAACGTTTTATTTCCTTCCTATTTGTCACCTTCATTGCCACTCCACCTCAAACACACACTCATACAACACATACACATGCTGACTAGCAATCAGTCCCTCACAATGGCAAAGCCTAGGCACTGAGATGGAGAAATCAGAGGGGAAGATTCAGCTGGACTGGAAGGGAGGTGCCTCGGCAGCAGGACACAGGCAGCTGTTGCTGGAGGTAAAATATCGGGCTACACCTCAGAAGACTGCAGCAGGAGAGAAATAAAGGAATGGGCAAGGGAGCCAGCCAGAGGGACCAAGTGTCACCCTTCACACCGCCCCTCCCTGAAGCATCCCCACCTCCCACAGTCCCACCAGGAGGCAGGCAGAAGGACCCAGTGACTTACAGCCTGAGCAACTGTTGGTAATTAGAGCCATTGGCACATACTCAGAGATAGAACTTTGGAGATCTGGAGGAAATTGTAACTAAATCACTCTAGTCTGAAAATAAGGTATAATCAAGGAAAAATAAACAAAGGAGCTCTTTTCTTTTCTCTTGTTTCTTTTCTTTTAGAAAGCCCACACACACTGCTCTTACTTCTAAGGAATAATCTTGTGCTTGAGATATTTCTCTGAAAAAGTCGCACTATCTTAGCAAGTGCCAGGAATGTTTCTTGGAGAACTGTGAAGGACATCTTGGCCTTTTCTTGAGGATGAGGGAGCAGGAACCCCCAGCTACAAAGAGTGGCAATCCACTTTGAGGCCTTCAATCCTCTTCATTCCTTACCCCTGGCCTCCAAGACTCTTTCCCCCAGTGCCAGCTCAGCCCCCATGACCAGCCCCTCCTCACACTCTTCCCCAGAACTCCCTCAGCTCCTGCCTTCTCAGAGACCCACAGGAAAGCAGTCAGGGAGAGAGGCCGGGGCTCTCAGCTCCATCTCTTCTGACCTAACAGAACAACAAGGTCACTCCCAACACTGATTTTATTGTTTTTATGATAACAGCAGAAATCATTGAGCGCCTACAAAATTCCAGGCACTGCAACGTGTATCCCTAACCCAAGAACAATGTTGCATGATGGCAAGTCTATGTATCTTCTCTATGTTATATGTGAGAAAACTGATATCCCAAGGGGAAAAATAATGTTGCCAGGGTTTAACGGTTGACTGGTAAAGCAGAAATTTAACCTAGATTGTCTAACTCCAAGGCCTATACATTTTCCCCTATTTTAGCTGCTTCTAATTTTGTGCACAGTGTAGTAGCCTAGCCTGTTGGAAAGCCTGGAACAATGGGTGGAGGTCTCAGGTACCGCTGCCAGCCTCTGTGGGAACATCTGTCAGAGAATGTTTTCAGAGAGAAGTCCAGAAATACCTGGGAAACTCTAGCTTCTGCTCCCAAGCCCAGAGAGGGAAGGCCAGCCTCAGGGACAATGCTGTGACCAGCAAGGAGGTTGGAGTTCTTCACCCGATTTGTGGAGAAGCACTTTTCCTAGTACTCCATCAGGGTGGTAGCCCCAGAATCACATCCACTCCAAATTATCATATTCTTGTATTTGATAAAGCAGATGAACCCTTGCAGGGTCTTCTCCATTCTTTTTAGAATGGCCAAGATGAGAATAGAAAGATAGGAGAGTGCAATTTCTAACTCAATAGAAAGTGAGACTCCCAGCCCCACTCTACTCACACAAGTCAGCCTGGCCCTCCAAAATCACTCCTTTTCAGAGCCCCAGGGTTCTGGTTCCTGCCCCTCTACTTCCCAAGGAGGAACAGAGCCAATCAGAGTCCCAAAGAGCTGGAAAGCTTGACCTAGTTGTCAGTGCCCATCACAGCTACTCTGGCTGCTGCCTGCACACAGGGAAATATAGTGCAGTGGAAAGCCAGATCTGAGACTTTGATTGAAACACTGATTTCTTCAACAATTATTGATTGGCTGTCTA